CTTTACACTCCTGGATAAGAAAACCGGAGGTGCCAGCGAAAACTATCTAATGGACGAACCAAACGGAAATTGGACAAACCATATTCAAAATAGTCAGAAGCCGTATTTCAACTTCAACGTTAGTTCACCAGCCACATGAACAGTTGTTGCATGGAGGCTCCCAAACACGAATATTAGGGTATGACCTATAATAATAAATAATTAGAGGGGGTGAGACTTCGAACCTAGATCAGCTAGCCCACCATTTTGTAAAGCTAGCCATAAGACCCTTAGGCGTTACTAAGGGGCTTAGGATGAGTGTAACAATGAGGTCCTATGCCGATGAGCTATACTATGCGCAAAAACTGTATGGAGCGGATGCAATTCGAAATCCCCAAGGTCAAAGATATTTTCTCGACACCTCCCATTCCGATCGAGCCCATCACTTGATGTATATGCCAGTTTTCTTGGTGTCGAACTGATTTTCCTCATCGTTCATGCATGGCTGATTTGAGCCCGTACCTTAAGGACCATGTCAACATGAGAGTGAGAACAATGTTGATATATATATGCACACGGGCAAGTGAATCAGTAGATGTGACCGTTAGATGGTGGGTGGGATTCATAAATTAGCTTCAAGCCTGCTTGATTAAGACACGAAAAGATTTTACCTACAAAATTACATTGGTGTATAGTATAGTATTTGTGGCTTATGTATAAAAAAAAGGAAAGGTAACTAAATAGAATTTCCATATATAACAAAAAGAAACCCATCTAAATAGAATTTGAAATTTCCAAGTGCACTTTAATGGCATTTCCAAGCTTGGATGGGGACTAGCTTGACAACAATAGTGTTAAAAGAAAGGACAAAAGGCCATTTCATTAGTGCATTTTTATTGCGAGGTTATCCTTTTAAGCCCTTCAACCTTACCCAACATGTCCGACTCTACAGCCATGTGAATCAAATAGCTCAACTAATTGACAACTAAAGGTGTGCCAAAGTTTTCTCGCAGCATGAGAGAATGTGGCCCATTTACCTGGTGATCTTTCGCACACAGTTCAATCATATGCTACTAGATGCTACCACACCGTCGAGAATTAGAGAATTTACCATCAAATTCGTGTGCCTTAATTTTTTTACCTCTTAACTCGCATACCCTCTATAATATATTATTAGGATTCTTTCTTGGTATTATTAGTTTGAGGCACACGGATTTGATGATAAATTATCTAAATTCTCCCACACCGTCACTTCTTGATGCGTCCTCTCTGAGGAAATCACGCTTATAACCCACCTGGTGAAATCACCAAGCTGGAGGAGTATTAGTCTCATACGAACTGGGGCTAGACGTGAGTATACCTTAACGACAACCACGGCAAATCGACAAAAACATTTTCCTTGGTGTCACTCAATCCCAAAACTATATGCATTCTCTCGTTGTAGATGGATATGGCACGATTAATTGTCGTCCTAATGGTAGCAATTTGATGTTTTGGGGCGAGAAGAGAGCATGGGCTCTCAGCATATATTGTGATGCAAAGTAGGACGGACAGAAGCAATGGATTTTGAGAGGCGCATGCAGTGAAGGCCATGCATGCACTGCTGCCTAGTATTTGCTTCTACAAACTAATGAAAGCAATATCAATGTGTATTGCTTCTTAAACTTAGGCCATCCCCAACCCAAAAACTATCTAGTAGTTTCTATACTAGCTATGTCATATAGACACTATGTATAGAAAATATATATCCAATGGATGGTGTCTTCAAATTAAATTATCATCCAATCACCTTTCTTCTCTCTCCTTTTATCCACCTATCCCCTTGTTTTCATTCTTGATTCTTGTAGAGATAGTTTCTTTATCTTTTTATCTCTCTCCTCATTAACTTTCTTGCCACATCAGATTTTTACTTATGTGGCAATATATTAAATGCTATGAAACTAGATGACATGGAGGGTTAGGATGGCCTTAGAGCAAGTTTAATAGTATAGCCCACTGCTAACTCCAATTTATCTATAGCCAATCTAATAATCAATTCATACAATAGATATTTACTGTACTATTAATATATGGTCCCACCTGTCATACACACACTGTGTCTTGGAGTCCGTGCTGCAGCTGGCTACAGATCTGTAGCCCATTGCTCTTCTTTCTCATCTTTTATCTCATTAAAATATGTTTATAGCTAGCTAATAGCCTGCTATTGTACCTGCTCTTATGCAAGGTGGAGAATTCAAAGAGCATCACTCTTAGGATGCGTTCTGAGATGCTAAAGGCCAGGTTTCTAATAAATGGTGTGTTTTTTCAAATACTTTATATACAAAAGTTTCTTAAAAAATTAAATAAATTTGGTTGATGCACGGCCTGCCAAATGCATGTTTTATTGTCGTTATAGCGTATTATTATACCGTCTTCGCATTTGAATTCTTTACATGTACGTACAATTATAGCTCGAATTACTTCGGATCTTTCTAGAGGCATTTAGGACACTGCGTCTTTGATTACAGCAATAATAACATCACCAATACGAGCATATCGCTGATTACTAGCAGCTCCTATGACTCGAATACACATCAATTTTCGAGCTCCACTGTTATCTGCTACATTTAAAAGGGTCTGAGGTTGAATCATATTATTTTGATTTTAATTTGTTATTTCAATGCTCGGGAAAAAAAAGAAATAAGTATCTAATTAGAGCTCGCTCCTTTAGTATTTAATAGGGAAATTCCCACCGAAAAAGCTATGAAATCACGTTGAAAATAAGGCAAGCAATTAGAGTATTACGTAAGGAAAAATACCTCGCAGAGGGTCTTATGGCCGCTTATTCCTATTCCTTTTGCGAGCACAATACTAATTGAATCCACTCCCCATGTGTGTGCTTCTGCACCTATCCGGGAAAGAAGAGTGGTGAGATTCTTTAGCCCGAGAGGGGACCTGGGCCGGATTCACACCAATCCATGGCCCACCAACACGTGCCGCCGACGAGACAAACCAAACCCTCGTTAATTCGCGATGCCAAGTAGGGTAAATACTATTATGGTATTTGAATCTTCTAAAGATAAAGATGAATATAAAGATTAAGTGTTTCATAAAAATAAGGTTGTAGTACTGTGTAATTAATTAAGTTTTAATTATTATAAATTTGAGAAATGGATTAATCTGATATTTATAAACAATCTAAGCATAAGCACACAGATCAGTGATGATTTAAACACATAGCCTAATTAAGGTCAAAAAGGAGGAGGGGACACCTATCCTCATGGCCGATCGAACTGAGCCACTGCACTTTGACCCACTCAAGGCCCATGACTATCAAGCCTATTCTTGGTAGCTGTAGGAGAATTGTCTAACATTGTCGAACGTGTTTTCCTGACGTCTCCCATTTCTAAGTCCAAAACTATTTTTCAAGAGGGAGGGGAGTGAGAAACCAAAGCCATATCAACCTTGTCACCAGATTGTACCCCCCCTTTTTTTTTTTGACAATGTCCGAAGAGTAGTGTGAATGGACTCCAGGCCAGGGAAGTGAGTACGCGGATATATATGCTGGCATGCGTACACATGGGCAATGTAAATGAGGTTATGAGATGGTGGTTGACAAAATTCAAAAGCACATCATCATCAGAGGGGGGTTTCCTCCCCACGCTTGAGATCAGAGGCCCCGACAATCAAGACCACAAATTTGATAAATTCCTATAAGATTTTATATGGCGTACATTTGATTTATGTATTTTTTTTCTTATTTCTACGATTTTCATTGACGCGTTTCATAGGAGCCCTAAATTAACCTCCGAGGGTTGATCGCAATTCGCAACGGGTGGTAATTGCTAAACCCAGGGATGTAATTCCCAAGTGCATAGCACGCTAGAAGTACGCATTGGCCTTGATCGGCCGCGATTGCTACCATACGGCTTCAGTAGTTGAAAGCCGCTGCAAGTGCAAGCAGACATTTTGATGAGAATCGGAGAAGCTAGATAACTATGGAGATGGTCCGTTGAGCCTTACTACTGTTGCCCAAAGAGGCAAATATCTATGCATGAGCCATGACAACGCTGGCGAGCTGTACTAGCGGCCTACACTGTCGAAGGTGTTTTTCCTGACGCCCCCATTTCCTATGCCAAAACTTGGATACTTGAGAGAGAGTGTGTGTGCACGAACTTCAAGTATGTATGGTTAATTGTACGTACAGATGTTGCTTGACATTGAGTTGTTCTCAGTCTTAGTGAGATGATGTGATGTCCAAAGAGGAGGAGATATATATGCATTAAGGACTACTCCAGTACATAGATAGAAGTGAGTAGGTGGATACTTACAGTGGTGGAGCCAGAAATTTAAATCTGTGAGGTCAATTACTAGTGGTTTGTATTTAAGTGGGGTCATTTCTCTAAATTCTTTTGGATTTATACATGAAAATTAAGATTTATAAGATGTTTTTCAAAAAGCTGTGGGGTCAGCCGACCCCACAGAAATGGCCTAAATCCGCCATTGGATACTTATACATACTGATATGAGAACACATGAGCAAACAAATGAGATTATGAGTTGGTGGTTGACAATATTCATCAAAAGCATAGACGGGGAATTTGTCATGATAATTGGGAAAATATATACTGCAAACCATATATGTAGTGAAAATTACTGTTGAATCGAAAAATGAACGTCTAAGATTCGTCCACATCACCACTCACTAAAATTTTTACTCGTGAGTAAATCTACTAGTAAAATTCCTCGTGATGACATGGACTGATATTTTCCCTGATAATCAGAGCGACGCTCGTAGGCGCTCCATAGGCCTCGTCATCTTCACAGTCACACACCGAACGCGACAAGCAGACCGAAAGCCCAAAATCGCCTCTCGCGACGCGGCCCAATAACTCGTAGCCCATTTAGCCGGGCGCGTGCACCCGATTCGACCACCGCCAAGCCCGAATGATTCCACCACACGCCACCGATTCGATTCCGACCGTTGCGTCCGCCTCAGGTGCGCGCCCGCTTTTCCACCCCGACCGTTGCCAGCCAGCCACCCTCGATTCCGCCCAAAATTCCCCCTTCAAATCCACCCCCCACAAACACGCCAAAACCGCAACCAAATCCCCTCACCCCCACGACGCACGCGAAACCACCTCGACGAATCCATGGCGGCCGACGCGCTCGTCGTGGCGGGGCAGGCGAAGGCGAGGCACCCGCTGAGCCAGATCGCGGAGAGCGGGACGCACCGGCTGCTGCTGAAGCAGTGGCTCAAGGAGGAGGACCTGCTCGCCCGCCGCGTCGCCCTGCGGGAGGCCCGCCTCGACGGCGCCCGCAAGGAGATCGCCTTCCTCTACTGCGCCTTCTTCGCCTTCCACGCCGCCTCCATCCTCCTCCTCTTCCTCTCCGCCTCCGCCTCCACCTCCGCGGCGTGCCGGCGCTCGTGGATCCCCTGCCTCGTGTCGCTGCTCTCGTCGCTGGCCATGCTGTGGGCGCTGCGGTACAAGGCGGACACGGAGGCGGTGCTGGAGCGGCTGCTGGCGCGGGAGCGGGAGGACGCGCTGCTGCTCGGCAAGTGCGTCGCCGAGCTCAAGCGGAAGGGGCTCGAGTTCGACCTCCTCAAGGAGGTGGACGCGCTGCGCCGCGCCAAGAGCCTGCGCGTCGAGGCCAAGGGCGGCGCCGGCGGCGAGAGGCCCAAGCGCTGGGCGGCCAGGGACCTCGCCGTCTTCCTCCTCTTCGGCGCCGCCTGCGGCGTCCTCGTGCTCACCAGGTACTTGCTCTGCAATTAGCCCACCCAACCGCAAGAGGAGGAAGGAGGAGATCGGATCGCAGTTGCGCCTTCTTGGCGTTGATCTAATCCCACGCTGCTCGTTCGTGCAGAACTGTCTGTTCTGCGAATTTTGATGTTGGTTACTCACTTCGTTCAGTTTGTAATAAGGACAAGGATTCGATACATTTTATTTTGCTTTTTGTGATTGTGATTATTTCAGAGAGCAAATTTACTCTCCAAATGTGCACTAATTTAAGTAGCCTCTCATCTGAATTTCTCCAATCCCCAATCACTCCATTATTCAGAGGTAGTGATGTTCAGAATTATTTACCTTGGGACAAGGATTTTTTGCTTGAACAAAAGGTTGGGATGGCTAGAAGGAGCTAGCCATCCAATGGAATTAAGATAGGAGGAGTCACATATTTCCAACCCTTCATTTAATCCAGGCGGAAGGTGAGGAGTTCAGGAATCGAACCCTGGCTTGAACAAACTTTGGACAAAATTTAAACCGTTAAAATTGATATTTTTTTGAACGGAATTAAAATTGATATATAACTGGTAAAATATGTATTCACTCTTCAGATTGTAATGCACTACTACCAATCAGTTTCAGGACCTGGGCTGTCGACGAGTGCAAATTTCTTGTAGCTGTCACCGTCTGAATTCTGAAATTAGATGTGCTGAATTCTGAAGTTGGATATGCTGAATTCTGAACTCTGAAGTAGATGACCAAAAAAAAAAAGAGGAAAATTGCTGCTTTGCTTGTCCAGTAGACACACCTAATGTCCTAATGCTCAAACCATTCAGGGGGAACAGGAACAAACACATAGCAGCATGACTATAATTTTAAGGCCTATGCATGTTTACAAATTAGTACAGGTTCAAGTGGATATGTTAATTTTGTTACTTCAACATGGAAGTTGGATCTCGACAGATAATTCCATCGACACTTGGAAGTTGACACTGCTAGGTACAGTGGAGTACTTTGTTTCCACATAATCAAGCATTTGGTTATTCTAACAGAACTTACAAACTAAACAATGCTGAATCAGTAGACTTGATATAAGTGGCGCCCAGGTTCACTCATGCTTTGAGTAAGGTCATCAAGTTCATGTGTCTTGTCTTCCCTCTGCCTACAAAAATCTGCCTCGGCAACATGAGAAATAATAACGAACCGTTTCTTTCCAACAAATTTTCTTGTGGTGCTCCATTTAATGTGGCATTATTCTGCTAGGTTCATTATTTTGTTTGCGCTGAATCCACTACTTGGTTCGTCGACAGACAATTTATGAATATGAACCAAATAATGCTAAACCATTAAACCTGAGATGAGTGGCACCAAGGTTCACTACTCACTTTTTAATACAACAGAATAGGATCATCAATTGTACATAACCCTTTCTTTCCAATGAAATATCTTGTTATGCTTTCAGTAGACAATACGATGCAAAAAGGAGAAATGTTAATTTCATAGATAGTGCACTCATTAAGCGCTGCAAAAACAAATACTACCTCCATTTTTTAATAGATGACGCTGTTGACTTTTTCTCACATGATTGACCATTCGTCTTATTCAAAAATTTTATGTAAATGCATAAGATATAAATCACACTTAAAGTACTATGAGTGATAAAACAACTCATAACAAAATAAATTATAATTACGTAATTTTTTTGAATAAGACAAATGGTCAAACATGTGAGAAAAAGTCAACGGCGTCATCTATTAAAAAACGGAGGGAGTAATAAACTAGAGTTAAACTAGAAAAAAAGATTTTATAGTATTTCAACTAGGGTTGTGTCACGCCCCGAACTAGCCCCGAGCGGAACTAGCCCGTGACGCTCCAAATTAACCTGTTAATCGATACCAGTCCCAGGAAACAGTGCTGGTATCACAGGATGACAGTATATCACAGCAACAGAGGTCTCTTTATTATAGAGTAGGAGTACAGTCATGTTGGGCTGCGGACAGATCCCGAGCTCACAATTGCATTACAAAAGGGAAAGTGGAAGCCAAGACTTGGACCAAACATGACAGACGCGACTTGGGAACTAGGCCGAAACCCTAAAACTCATCGTAGCCGACTTGCTCCTGGAAGAACTCCTCGTCAGCAGGGGCCACATCATCTTCTTTAGCAACTGGGGGGGGGGAATTATTTATATAGAGCAAGGGTGAGTACAGGGGTACTCAGCAAGCCATGGGAAATAAGTGTTTAATGTAGGCTTCAAGGGGAAGGCTGTTGTTTTTACAATTGATTTTATTTAAACTCCTTTTTGAAACAACTAAGTGAGTACTTCTCAAACGACACGGATGGGACAGTGCGTCTCGTCCGATCGGAGTATGTGCGATGTATCAGTCTTTTGAATTGATCAAGGTTGGCACCCGGCCAACAGCTTTCAAACGGCCACCCGGGCCTGGCTGATCCCATCAGCCGTAGATTTTCCAAACATCGAACCCATTCCACAACAGCAATTTCACAAAGCAGTAGTCAAACAAAACTACGCTAGGAATCACCTCACATCCGCCCATGACCGTGGGCACGGCTGTTCGAACAGTTTGTTAACCTCTACAGAGGGAGTACACTTTACCCACACGACATTACTAACCCGGATCATCCAGCCCATGCAGAACGGCCACGTCTGGTGACCTAAGGGCTTTCATGACAAGGCATTTCGAGAGCAGACACAGGTTCACCATATGCCAACGAGAGGGGTCCCAGACCAACACCAGATTAGGTCCCAGACCATACTGTGCCAGGAAACCTGGGGGTTCTCCCCGACACCACCCCATTGAATCCACATGTCTCTTGGCATCATGGCTCCCCCGATTAGCTAGTTACTCAGCCAGGGGTGTCCCATTCCACCCATGTGGTCGCACTTGTCTTATGTTCGGATGAAATTCCAAGGAAACGGTCCTTAAGTGCAAGAGCAGGAAACTGTACTCCCGGTACGTTCCCTGGTCCGCGATTTTGGAAAAATTCATTTAGTTCGCAAGCACCGACCCAGGTGTCGGGTTTTCCAAGTCTTTTGTAAAACCCAAGTTTTACCCATCGTTGGATATTTTAAATTTGAGGGAAGGTGTTCCGATGCGCGTGCCCGAAGGCCCATACATCGAAGCACAACAGTTGACAAAGGAGGGTTAAGTGTTCAATAATTCACGGAGGGTAATTGCAGCAATTTAGGTTTGGGGGCCGGCGGGCTATCTCGCAAGCCGCGGCCGAATTACTTGTGTTAATCCTATTCATGCAATATTTGCAAAAAGAAATACTTAGATTTAATTTATAGGTGCAAGCTGATCAAAGGTGACTTGCCTTGCTCGAGATCTTGAGCTTGATCCTCGAAATCCTCGCACTGCGGGTCTTCAGGCTCCGAAACTACACGCCGAACGGGATAACTCAACAAACAGCGAAAATAAAGCCCTATTATTGACCTCTAAGCGTGCCATTAGATAGATCTCAAGATTTGAGGAATTTTGGAAGTTGAACGGAGTCAAACGGACATACGGTTGAGGAGATATTGAATTTCTAAGATTATTAGATTTTTGATCTAAAGAAAGAGGATTTATTTAAATCCTTTTTGAGAAAAGAAAAGAAAAGAAAGAGGGAAGGGAATTAGACTTCCCTCGGGCGGCTAGGGCGCGGCCCGAGAGAAAGGGGCGGCTCGACCGAGCTTAATGGGCCGGCCGGCCCGAGAAGGCGGCCCAAGGCGCGCGCGCGGGCGGGGAGGAGAGAGAGAGAGAGAGCCGGTGGGTCGGGTCCATCCCGCGTGGTCCCGAGTGGGACCCGCTTGTCGGCAACTTGGCTCACCGTGAGCGAGGTGCACGTGGGGCGTGCTAGGGTTTGGGGAGGGAGGCGCGGTGCATGCGCGCGGTTCGTGGTGGACGCGGATGCGGCAGGCCCACGCGCAGCCTCATGGCTCGCGGTGGACCGCGCGCGCGAGCGGGGCCGGAGGAAGCGGCTGACCGGGGTCAGCCGATCCGGTCGTGCCGAGGTGGCACCGACGTGGCGCCTACGTGGCTGCCACGCGGGCCGGCTGGAGGAAGACGAAGGCGCCGGCTGCGAATGGACGGCGGGCAGCGGCGGTTTCTCCGGGACACCGTGCGACGACGAGGGGCGACGGGGTGTACACCGGAATGATGAGGGAGAACGAGAGGGAGCGAGCCAACGGCTTGGATTCACCGGATGGAGTTCGACGGCGGCGGATTGCGGCGGCGGCATCCGGCGGCGAGAGAAGATGGAAACGGCGACGGTGCGACGGGAGATCAGTTCGGGCGAGCTAGAGCATCTACGTGACTCCGGGAATCCATCCCTTGCGCCGGATTAGGAGGAAACACGCCGTGGGAGGCCGGCGATGAGAGGTGGCTACCGGACTCGGGCGGCGACGGCGGCGAGCCCACTGCGAGCGACGGCAGCAGTCGGGGCGGCGCCAGCTAGCTACGGGGAGGCTACACAAGCTTCTACCGAAAGCTAAGAGGAAGAGGGGGGGCAAGGAGGGAGAACGGGAAGATGCACTACCGTGCGGGCGGGCGCAGTGACGACGGCCGACGGCGCGGGGCGTGATCGCTCCGGCCTCGGGCCGGGGAAGAGGAAGGAGAGGGTGCACCCGGAGTCCCCTTCACGCGTCCTTCGCACGCACCGGCTCTCCCGGCGCTTGGCAATGAACGGCAGAGGCGAGACAGAGGGGCGGCAATGGCGCGGTGGTGGCGAGCGAAACGGGGGGGAGGAATCGATGGGAGGTCGCCTTGGTTAAATAGGAGGCGATGTTGGTTTGGGAACTGACCTAGGGCGGTCAAGGGAGCGAGTAGCGCTCGGTCCAAGGGAGGGTGACGCCAGCGATGGGAGGAAAAAGAAGAAAGGAAGAGGGAAATGGGGCTTGCCTCCTTGCTTCTTTGGGAAAAGAAGGAGGGAGAGAGAACGACGCGGCAGAGGGAGGAGGGGCTCTACCTCCGTCCCTTGGAAGCTAGCGCGCGGTGGTGGCGGGGCCGGGTCGATGACGACGGCGATGACGGCGGACCGGTTTGGAGCGGAGCGGCGACACGGGCGGCAAACGCGGGGCAGGCGCGGCAGGTGCTGACGGCGGCGGCGACTGGCCGGTCGGCCACCACGGCGTGCGCGCGCGGGAAGCAACGGGCGGCGCGGCGATTTGGGCGGCGTCGGCGGGAAGCGGCAGTGAGGGCTCTCCGCGCTCGGCTCGGCGCGGCTCACGCGCACGCGCGCGCGGCGCACGGGCAGAGCGAGGGAGAGAGGGAGAGAGAGAGAGAGGGGGGAGAGAGAGATGGGGAGAGAGATGGGCCGAGAGGAATTCGGCCCATCGAACCTGAGGGAGGCAAAATAGACTTTTGCAGAGGAATTGATTTGGGAAGGAAGATTGAGATTAGGGTTTGGATTTGACGATGGATCGGGGATTCGAGATCCGGAATGGCGCGGAGACTGACTGCAAGCGAAGAAACAATTTTCGCAATTAGGGTTTTTAGAATTTAAATTTTCCCGCTAGGCGCCACGACGGAACGGACGCTACAGGTTGAAAACAGTGGCAGAAATTCCAATTGACCAAGTATCATTTTCATAGAAATGATTCGTTTCCTTGTTTCTAGCTATATATAACATTTGATTTTTCTAATTTCTATTAGCGTTGTTTCCATAGAGATGATATTGTTTCCTACAGTTCTGAACAGTTTTCATCTCTACTTTTTTTCAACGGGCAAAATCCACATCCCTCCTTGTGAATCTGGAGCTTCGATGAGATCATACTCTTCAGTTTCTCCATCCTCCACCTTACACACCTCAAAATACTTATCGCGCGCAAAAATAGAGTAGACACAATCCTTCTCCAGCCCACACTCATCAGCTGAACGTGAAGCACCAAAATAGCATGAAGCTACCAAGAACGCACGACCACCAATGTCCTCGGCTATGCACCATTGTTGCTTCAAGAAATCCATCCTATAAACAGTAACATCGTAGATGGTCTTCATGTCAGAGTCATACATTTGGCAAACCATGTATAGTTCATCCAAGGACTCGACCATGTACAGGCTTGCCATGCCCATCACCCCTAATCCTCCAATGATGGGGTCGATGATTGCGATGGAGCTGAATGTTGGCGAGGGGGAGAACTCCAGCACGCCGATGCTTTCGAAGCCGCCATTGAAGTAGAACTTGCCCTGGCAAGCGGCGATCCAGCATATCGGCACCTTCTCGTGGTCCTTGCCATCCAAGGGAGGGTCCAAGACCTGCGTGCCAATGTCGTAGTCATGTTCCACCCACTTCTCGTCGTCTCCAATGTGACAGTACCAGATGATAGTGCCGACTGGCTCAACGAGGAGAACGACGCAGCCAGGCATCGTGGGCTTGCAGGAGAGCAGACATGTGGAACTGATGTGCACGTCCTGGGGTAGATGGGGTAGCTGAATCTTATCGTCGAAATCGCGAGGATTCTGCAAAAATGTGGTTGCGGAGGCGGTGTCGCGGACTAGGATCCACCCCTGCGACGTCACCCAGGAGTTGGTGTTGGTCAGCCCGGGGATGTCGCCGCCATTGATGGCCTTCTTCTCCGAGATGCTGAACAGCGCCGGCTTGTCTGTGTCGGCGCCATGCTTTAGGTACAGGGCGAGGCAAGGCACGGGGACACGGCTCGTCTTGTCCATGGTGATCAAGGCTGATCTATCTCCTATCCTCTTCGTTGGATCTGCAACCGAACCGAAGCCTCTCTTATGTAGGGGATTGCTAGCTGGTTGCAGACGAGTCACAAGGTCAGATGTTGCGGAGTACAAACGGTGGATTACGAGTCGGTCACAGCAATCCCTGCCTGAAGCTCCACGAATTGCAGCCTGACACGACATGAAAAATCAGAGACCAGATGCTTACGTTTTGCCAATTTGGGCTTTGGGCTTGCATAAACAGACGTTTTCCCAATTTGGGCCTAATCAGGCCTATCTGAATTCTGAAGGAAGTACATGTGCTGGATCTGCAGGGTTTGCTCCTCTTCAGAAGCTGATCGACAAAGTAATTTGTGCTTTGTTCATCACGTAGGAACACCCAACTATTCAGGGAACCAAAAACTAATAATTTGCATGAAAATATAATTCCATCTACAGGTGGCCGGCTTTGGCAACATGCACTGCTAGGTAGTCATTTGTTTCCACATAATCAAGTGTTGGCTCTTTTGACAGAACTTACAAAGTAAACGATGCTAGCTAAACCAGTATACAAAGTTAAGTTATCAAATTCCTGCATTTTCTGTGTGTCACACATTAGAAATACTGACCCTCCCTTTCTTTCCAACAAAAATTCTTGTCATGCTGATTGATACACGAACGATAGTATTGTTTCATATATATATAGCTCATTAAGTTGGAAACACGAATTTAACTACGGTTACACTGATTAAGAACATGTTTCTTTACAGGTGAAATATATGATAAAACAAAGTCCAATTCCCAATTGTGAAACTAGACTACCCAGTAATGGGCAAAATCCACATCCCTCTTTCTGAATTTGGAGCTTCGATGAGATCATACTCGTCAGTTTCTCCATCCTCTACCTTGGATACCTCAAAATATTTATCACGCGCAAAAATAGCATATACACAATCCTTCTCTAGCCCACACTCATCAGCCGAACGTGAAGCACCAAAATAACAAGGAGCTATCAAGAACGTACGGCCACCAATGTCCTCGGCTATGCACCATTGATGCTTGGAGAAATCCATCTTATAAACAGTGACGTCGTAGACAGTCTTGAAGTCGTACTCAAGCAGCTGACATACCATGTAAAGTTCGCTCTCCGACTCCACCAAGAATATGCATGCTGCGCCCACAAAATCCATGGGGTCGGTGATTGCGATGGAGCTGAACGTCGGCTCTGGGGTGAACTCCAGCACACTGATGTTGTGGAATCTGGCGTTGAAGTAGAACTTGCCTTGGCAAGCTGCGATCGAGCATATCAGTACTTTCTCATAGTCCTTGCCATTCATGGGTGGATCCAAGTGCTGCGTGCCAATATCGTACTCGTGCCTAACCCACTCCTCATCTTCTCCGACGTGACAGTACCAGATGATGGTGTCTTCGGGCTCGACGAGGAGCACGATGCAGCCGGGGATCGTCGGCTTGTCGGAGAGCGAGCACGCAAGCACATCTGCTGTGCAGGACTTCCGGTAGGTGCGGCAGATGAATCTTTTCGTCAGGATCCTGTGGGTTCTGCAGAAACATGGTGGCGTCGTCGCGGATCAGGATCCATCCCTGCTGCGTCGGCCAGGCGTTGCTGTTCGTCATCCCGGGTATGTAGGCATCGATGGCCTTTTTCTCCGAGATGCTGAATAGCGCCGGCTTGTCTGAATCGGCGCCGTGCTTCAGGGCGTTGCAAGGCACAGGGACATGTCTCGTCTTGTCCATCATGGTGATCGATGTGAGTATGCGGCGTTGGATCTCTGCAGGTAGCAACGCTTTTGGCTCTCTTACATACATACTCTAGGCGAAGACTCCGATTCAGTGCCGTGTTGCAGACGACGAGACGAGTCGGCTTCAGAGTCGGTTCACAACTCACAACTAGTCACAAGAAGATCGATCGCCTTCCTATAGCAGCGGTCATGTGGTTCAGTTTTTGGTAACAAGGAAACGGATTTGATGTCTTCTGTTCCTTTTCTGATTTTGATTGTGATCGCAAGAGAGGAAAGTCTCTAAAAGTATGGTTAATATAGTTTTACAGATAATCACAGTAATAGCGACGGGTGTGAGTTTCTCCTAAATCTCCAATCCCTCCAAAGAACTGCCCCTTTTCAGAGGTTTTTTTTTTTTGACTGATAACTTTACAGAGTTTCAGTATTTAAAATATTTGGTGCATTAGACATCTTTGAGACAAATAAGTAATTTATGTTTTGTGATAAGTAATTTATAAACCATTAAAATTCAGATAACTGGTGTTCACTCTTCAGAAGTTCTGGTTGCAATGCGCTGCTACTATCAGGTTCTTGCGTTCTCTTCTTTTCCAAGTCCAATTCTGAATTCTGAATTCTGAAGCGACTTGTTCTGATGTCCTCACCTCTCGGTGCTGATCATCAACAAGTAGGTTGCAGCTCTCCCATCAAGTAGGACAGCTAATGCTCTAATCTTTCGGCTTCAGGGTGGAAACAAGAACAAATTAACATACATAACTGTTTACCTGTAATTTCACAGCCTATCCCTCTTCTACAAGTTCAAATATATTTACCAAGTGTGTTACTTTCATTTGGAACTAGGGAGAGAATTTCATCCTCACATGTAACTGGGCACATGCAGTGTGACATTATCCAAGAAAAGTGTTTTAATCCCTTAATGGGACATCAACTTATTTCTTGCATGTGCACTAAAATATTAAAAACCAATTAACAAGATAGTTTAATATAAGATATTTTACAGCACAAATATACAAGTTAAAGTAACAAATATGACTGAATGTATATATTTAATTTGTTATTTTTATCACAACCTGTAAATGTCGAATTTGACCTTATATGCTTGTGGACAATGTGCCTCATATTAATCTATTTTGTTAATTTTTTTAAAAAAAATTATGGTTATTTGGGTGACATAAAAAAACGAGTATTCAGCTACGTGCAGTATTTTCTTTCCCCTGAATCCACTACTTGGATGTTTTCGATAGACATGCATCTTAGGAATATGAACTAAATAATGCTAAGTCATTACTACAATTGAGATGAGTGGCGCCAAGGTTCACTACTCAGTTTTTAATAAACCAAAATAAAGGTCATCAATTTTCCGTGTGTTCTCTCTGTACATAGTCCCCTCTTTTAACGAAATATCTTCTCATGCTTTCAATAGATAGTACGATGGAAAAAAATATAAAAATGTTAATTTCATGAGATTTGTTACGGTCCAGCAGATGGTACATCAGGTACCAAATGAAATCCAACCGTTCAATTACCGTGGGCATGATTGGAAACATTGTCAGGTCGACTTAACATTCAGGCCGCCGTCGCCCTCGACGCCGGCCCCGCCGGCCGCCGCGCACCACAGAGGCCGGCGGCCAGATCCCTGCCAGCCCGTCGACGCCAGCTAGGTTCCCCCATCCGCCATCGACGCCGGCCTCGCGCACACCCTCGAACGGATCCTGCAGCCCGCTGCCGCTTCGCATCCTGCAGCCCATCGCCGCCGCCGTCGGCTTCGTGCACTCCGTTGACCCGGATCCCGCAGCCTACCACCGACCCAAATCCTGTAGCTCGTCGTCGGCCCAAATCCTGTGGGCTGACGCCGTTGATGCCGCTGCAAAAAAGCTCAGAACCTGGGATGGAGAACGGGCAGGCGGCTGGCTGAGCCGATCTGATCTGAACTGAGGCTACGCGAAATTACGAAAATGCCCTTCAGGCGGTGGTACTGCATGGAATCGATCGGTGGTACTGCCCGGTACTGAATCTGTCTCAGCCATCCGATCAAGTTAAATGAATGGTGTAGATTTGGTACCTACCCAGGCTGTTGGACCGTAAAAATACTCTAATTTCATAGATAATGCACTCATCAAGCAGAAACAAATAATAAACTAAAGTTGCATTAGGAGAAAAAAATCCTTTACATTCTTTCAACTAGGCTTGAAAATGATGACAGAAACTTTGGACCAACCAAATAAATTTTCTAGAAGTGACAGCCATTTCCAATTCTAGTCTTATATAATTTTTTCTGCTTTCTGTGTCAACCCGTTTCCACAGAGATGATATCATTTCAGGCAGTTTCCGAATATTTTCATTTCTACTTATTTTCAACAGGCAAAATCCACATCCCTCTTCTTGAGTCTGGAGCATCGATGAGCTCATGCACCTCAGTTGCATCATCCTCCACCTTGGATACCTCAAAACATTTATCTAGTGCATACGAGACATACACAGAATCTTTCTCAAGCCCATACTCATCAGCCGAGCATGAAGCGCCGAAGTATAACGGAGCTAGAAAAAACGCACGGCCTCATAGGCTCTGCGCCATTGCAAGCTCAAGAAATCCATCCTATGAACGGTCATATCGTATATGGCGAAGTCGTGGTCAAGCCGCAGACAGATCATGTACAATTCGTCCTCGGATTCTACCAAGAACACGACCGCCGCGCCTATCACCCCTAATCCTCCGGGGATAGGATCGACGATCTCAATGGTGCTGAACACCGGCGTGGGGGTAAACTCCAGTACTCCGATGCTCTCGAAGAAGCAGTTGAAGTAGAACTTGCCCCGGCAAGCGGCGATCTCGCATATCGGCACCTTCTCGTGGTCCTTGCCATCCATGGGTGGATCCAATGGCTGGGTTCCAATGTCGTCGTCGTGTCTCGTCCACTCTTCATCGTCGCCGATGCGACAGTACCATATGTTGGTGGCGACGGGCTCAACGAGGAGGACGATGCAGCCAGGGAGAGATGGCTTGCCGGAGAGCTGGCAGGAGCATCTGGTTGACAGACCTTCTGGGAGATGGATCTTGTCTTGGGGATCCTGAGGGTTCTGCAGGAAGGTGGCGGTGCTCTGGCGTAGTAGGATCCACCCCTGCGGGGTGAACCAGGCGTTGGTGTTGGTCAGCCCAGGGATGTCACCGTCGATGGCCTTCTTGTCTGAGATGCTGAACAGCGCCGGCTTATCTGCAGCAGACTCGTCGTGTTGCTCCATGGAGAGGCAAGGCACGGAGACGCGGCCGCTCGGCTTGTCCATGGCCGGCGTGGTGTTGTCAACCTTGTATTCCTCTCTTCTTAGTTGGATCTGCAAATCGTGCTCTGTGCTCCTCTTATATGGGCGAAGCTGCTACCTAAGCAGGGTTGATTCCGACTCAGAGTCAGTCACGGCCGGCGATCCCTCATCAGAGATCAGACATCTGAAGTAATCGGAATTGGAGGCAAAAGGCCAATTTTCGTGGTGAGGTAAAAGAGACAAGAAACAGGGATGCTGTTGTTGTTCGTCAGGGCATCGATGTCGCAGGCGATGTCCTGTCCCTCGAAGATGTTGAACAGTGTCGTCTTTACTGATTCCAGGCCGTGCTGCTGCTGCTGCTGCAAGGCGAGACAGGGCACAGGGAGAGGATCCATCCCAAATATCGTGTTCTTATACTTCATCTGGGCAGGGAACTTGCAGCCGAATCGGAATCAAGCAGCCGTCCGGAGTATAACCGGATTCCGAACGGCTCCTGGACAGGAGTAAAACGTGCTCATGCTAGATTTCGCTCATCAGGTAGGAACATCTAAAATGCTCCAAGCCTCCAACTATTCATGGGGGAAATGGGAACCAACAACTAACAATTTGAATGAAAATTTCCAGCCTGCACATGTAGTTGCAGCTTTCTCATCATGTACGCACAATGCTCTAATCTTTCGGTTTCAGGTTGAAAACAGGAACAAAAAACACATGACTGTTAACCTGGAATTTTACAGCTACACTGAAAAAAAAATTCAGCTAGGTACAGTATTTTGTTTCCAGTGAATCCACTACTTGGTTGTTTTCGACAGACAACTTACGAATATGAGCTAAATAATGCTAATAAACCATTAAAACCGAGATGAGTGGTGCCAAGGTGGTTATCAATTTAATAATCGAAAAATAAAGGTCATCATTTTCTTGTGTGTTCTCTCTGTACATAACCCTTTCTTTCCAACGGAATATTTATGCTCTCAGTAGAAAGTACCCCAAAAAGAAAAGAAATATTATTTTCATATATAGTGCAGGCATCAAGCACTGCAAAAACAAATAATAAATCAGTTACATTCGGAAAATGATTCTTCTTTACAACCTTTCAACTAGGGTTCAAAACGGTGGCGGAAATTTCCAACCAAGTATGTTTTGTACAAGTGATGCCGCTTCCAATTCTAGCCATATATAAATTTTGAATTTTTCAATTTCTATCAACATCGATTTCATAGAGATTATATAGTTTTCCGACTGTATCCAAACATTAACATCTCTATTTTTTTTTCAACGGGCAAAATCCACATCCCTCTTCTCGAGTCTGGAGCATCGATGAGCTCATGCACATCGGTTGCGTCATCTTCTACCTTGGATACCTCAAAACACTTATCCAGTGCATACGAGGCATACACAGAATCCTTCTCGAGCCCGTACTCATCAGCCGAACATGAAGCGCCAAAATAGAACGGAGCTAGAAAGAATGCACGACCCCCAATCTCATACACTCTGCGCCATTGATGGCTGAAGAAATCCATCCTGTGGACGGTCATATCGTAGATGGTGAAGTCATGGTCAAGCCGCAGGCAGACCATGTATAGTTCATCCTCAGACTCAACAAGGTACACATACGCCCCGCCAATCACCCCTAATCCTCCGGCAATAGAGTCCGCGATCTCAATGGAGCTGAACGTCGGCGTGGGGGTTAACTCCAACACTTCGATTTTCTCAAAGTTGCTGTTGAAGTAGAACTTGCCCCGGCAAGCGGCGATCTGGCATATCGGCACCTTCTCATGGTCCTTGCCTTCGAAGGGCGGATCCAATGGCTGGATTCCAATGTCGTATTCGTATCTCATCCACTCATCGTCGCCAATGCGACAATACCAAATCACAGTGGCGATGGGCTCGATGAGGAGGACGCACAACCGGGGAGAGATGGCTTGCTGGAGAGACGGCATGAGCATATGGTCGACAAGCCTCCTTCTAGCAGATGAGGTAGACGGATCTTATCTTGGGGATCCTGTGGGTTCTGCAAGAACATGGTGGTGCTCTGGCGAAGTAGGATCCATCCCTGTGGCGTGAACCATGCGTTGGTGTTGGTCAGCCCTGGGATGCCGCCGTCGATGGCCTTCTTGTCCGAGATGCTGAACAACGCCGGCTTATCCGCGGAGTCGTCGCGTTGCTCCAAGGAGAGGCAAGGCACGGAGACGCGGCTCGTGTTGTCCATGATTGGGTGATGTTCTTCTTCCTCTTCTTCTTCTTTCGTTTGTTGTGATGTTGTCAACCTCTATTCCTCTCTTCTTCGTTGGATTTGCAAACTGTACCCAGCATGCACTAATATAGGCGAAAACTGCAGGCTGAGCAAGGTTAGTTCGTGTCGGTGATGGCGATCCTTGGTAGCCTTCAGCACGAGTCAGAAGCAATCGGAATCGGAGACAGAAATCAATTATGCGATTCCCGCACCAGCCGTCTTGGCAAAGATCTGCACGGCGCGCGGCAACTGGCAAATCGGAACCAAAAATCTTCCAGACCTTTGGGCTTGCATATATTAGTTTTATCGGCAGAGAAACAAGGGCTAAGATATACATAGTCCTTACGACAAAAAAAATAAAACACTAGTACAACAGTAACATGGATATATAGATGGCACATTAAAGCAAAATCACTGCGTGCAGCATTTGTCCTCCTACTGGCTATTATGAACCTACTTCTCCCAGTAGGTTAAACATGGATAAATATTGAGGACCAATCGATGACCTCAGAGCACGAACATGATGTAAGTCATGATACATTTGGACTTGTGCTTGATCATAAGGAGCCCCTGTTCACTGCTTGTTGGCAACACCTCCACGCCGGTGAAGACAGTCACTGGGTTAAAGTCACACTCGTACCGCTCGTTTTCAATGGTGTAGCCATTGACAATGCAAAACCTCAGTGATCCAAGGTTCACCAGGTCACGGTACACCTGAGACCAGTTCTCCGGCAGCTCAAACTCCATCCCGACATGCCGCACCACCGGCGGAGGAGAGCCTGCGGCGGTGGAGAGGTTGTCCAAGATGCACAGGTCAAAGGGGCCGCCATCCGACATGCCGAGGCAGTGGCCCAGCTCAGGGACATACTCGGCATTGAAGGGCAGCACCCAATCACCCACCTTATTCCAATCTCTCGTCACCATGTCAAAGGAGTAGGTCGCCGTGGTGGTAGACACGCATATCTTGGTGCTATCGACCACCATGAAGCGAGGCTTAAGGGGGACCTTATACTCTCGGTCCTGAAAGAATGGCGGCTGCGGGAGTGGCCCCCAGCACCAACACTCCTCCACAGGATCATAGGCAAGCACCTCAGAACTACACCAGTAGGTAGGATCGATATCCATGATGTACAGGCTGTGGTCTGTGTCGATGTCAAAGTTGGACATGGCATGGGCAGAAGCACCTGGGATGGAGACAGCCACACAACTATTGTATCTCTTGGGCGAATTCAGATCAGGCATTCTCATGAATGAGCGCAACTCGGGGTTGTAGATGCTGGTGTGGCCTGCCATGTCCGTGCAGAGGATCTTGTTCTTGCTCCTCTCACCAAAGAGAGCAAGTGCACACAGTGAACTGTAGGGATTAGACGCAGACCACGTATATGGCTGGTAGTGTATGCTCGGTGTTGGCAAACGGCCGATGCTCCCAATTTTGTTGGTGCCATTCTTCTTCTTCTTAGCTTTAGCCTCTGCTTCCAGTGCTTCTGCCGTTGATGGGTAGAAGAGCTTTGATACGTCCATGTGCCTTAGCGAGAACAAGCCGCGACCCTCGTTCAACACCAAATGCAGAGACTGACGGCTCAACTTCTCGCAGCTCATCTTCAACACTCACGCTTCCTTGACCTGAAGGTCCAATCAAGGGATAGAGAAATCATTCCACAAGTCAACAAACCGGATGAGCGACTTAAATTAATTTTCTCTTCGTTGGTAGCCTGACTGACACTCAAAAAGGAGAAGTAGAGATTCAATGGAGAAGGGTGAGAAATCTGGATTATTTTTGAGCAATCAATAACAGCAAGGAGCGAGCGAGCAATGACTAGAGAGGGTATAACGAAGAATTTATAGTCTTGTTTGCCCGTTGCCTGTACAGAGTTTTTTCGTTTGGGAAATGAAATTCATCCCCGGCCCACCGGTGAAAATTCAAAAAGAAAAATCAAGAATAATTTATAGAAGCACGCAAATTTCATCAGAAAACAAACTTATCCATCCCTCGATTTAACATATACTAATATTGTTCTTTATTTCAGCACAGATCTGAAACAAGCTAGCCAGGCACACGATTCTAGCACAAATCAAAGAGCATGTCAGTTATGGCAAGCGACACACAGTTTGTGATCACAGCGGCAGGCAAAGAGAAAAGCTTCCAAGATCTAGAAGAGAAGCTAGGGCTAACGCAAATTCGAGAAAGGAACGTAATAAGTAGAGAGAGATGAGAAAGAAGGGATGGATGATCATGAGACTCACCAGCCAACCAGCGAGAGAGACGCCGCGGACGCCGGCGGCGATGGATGGAGATCGACGCAGGCGAGGCGTCCGGGAGTCGAGGGCTCGAGGCCTCACCGACCAAACCAAGTATGGGCTTTCACTTCTCACATGGTTCACTTCGCCGGCCCAAGAGTGAGTGAACCGGTGTTTTGGAATAGGAATAAGTTTACTTTAGGTCCCTCCTCTTGACATCGAGTTTGAAATCGTATCCTTGGACCACGATACCAGAAATTTTGACCCCCAAACTTGCAAAACTGGGATAGATTAGGCCCTCCCGCAGCATAGATGGTTGTTTTCTACTGACGTGGCAAGTTGATCCGATCCACTTGTGCTGACTACGCGCTTACATGGCAAAAACAAACCGGGCCTCACATATCATCCTCACTCTCCTCCCATGCTCCTGTTCTCGGTCTCTCCTCCCAAATCAAGTGAGGCATCCACGTTGAGATAGCTGAGCGGCACGGCAACGGGGATGGCGAGGTGATGTTAGCTATTTTTTTTTAATCTGAACACATGCAAACCACTAATTACAATTTGGGTTTAGTAATACTTATTATTTTGAACAAAAATATTGTTAAACTTTTACAACTTTGACTAAAATAACATCTCAGAATGTTAGATTAGTCCTAAAAGTACTTCAATAAATTATATATTTATTGATGTTGTTATATATATTGTAATAAAAAATAGTTGTTGAAATCGTTTTTTAACCGCGTGTCGTTGTTTAAAATAATAAGTTTTACTAAGCCGGAGGGAGTACGAAATTAGCCAGTCAAATCAAATTGATATTACAAACTAATGACGGCCGTATTAGCCAAGCAAACTACCAAAGCAAATAGTGAGACGAAACACCATCGGTCCATCGATCTAATATCTTGTGCTGGTTTTTCTCTCCTAATAACATCTAGTGCTCCAAGACTCCAACTACTCATGGGGAAATGGAAACCAACAACTAACAATTTGGATGAAAAATTTCCAGCCTGCACATGTAGCTTTCTCATCAGGTAGGCACAATGCTCCATCTTTCAGCTTCAGGTTGGAAACAGGAACAGAAAAACACATGACCTGGAACTTTACGGCCTATCCTCTGCCTTTGCAAGTTCAAATAGATTTACCAAGTGTGTCACTTCCATTTGAAACTAGGGAGAGATTTTTATCCTCACAGGTAACTTGGCACATGCATGCAGTGTGACATTATTCAGCTGGCTGGCCGACAAACAACTCATGAATATGAACTAAATAATGATAAACCAATAAAATTGAGAAGAGTGGCGCCAAGGTTCGGTACTCGGTTTTTAATACACCAGAATAGTCATCAATTTCCTGTGTGCTATCTCTGTGCATAACCCTTTCTTTCCAAGGAAATATCTTGTTATGCTTTCAGTGGACAGTACGACAGAAAAAAAAACTTAATTTCATATATAGCACACTCATCAAGCGCTACAAAAACATATAATAAACAATGGCTACACTAGAGAAAATATTTCTGTACAGTCTTTCAACGAACCCTCCCTTTCTTTCCAACAAAAATTCTTGTAACACTGATTGATGTGTGACCAATAATACTGTTTCATATATATAGCTTACTAAAGTTGGAAATACAAATAATTAACTACGGTTACACTGGATAAAAAAAACATGTTTCTTTCCATGCAAAAAAGATGATAAAATTCCCAATTGTGAAACTAGACGGTGGGCAAAATCCACATCCCTATATCTGAATTTGGAGCTTCGATGAGATCATACTCTTCGGTTTCTCCATCCTCTACCTTGGATACCTCAAAATATTTATAACGCACAAAAATAGCGTAGACACAATCCTTCTCCAGCCCACACTCATTGGCCGAACGTGAAGCACCGAAATAACATGGAGCTATCAAGAACGTACGACCACCGATGTCCTCGGCTGTGCACCATTGATGCTTGGAGAAATCCATCTTATGAACAGTGACATCGCAGATGTACTCGAGGTTGTAGTCAAACAGCTGGCTTACCATGTATAGTTCGCCCTCTGACTCCACCAAGAATACGCTAGCTGCGCCCCAGAAATCCAAGGGTTCCGTGATTGCGATGAAGCTGAACGTCGGCTCTGGGGTGAACTCCAGCACGCGGATGCTGTTGAATCTGCCATTGAAGTAGAACTTGCCTTGGCAAGCAGCGATCGAGGTTATCGGCGCCTTCTCGTGGCCCTTGCCATCCACGAGTGGAAGCAAGGGCTGTGTTCCAATATCATACTCATGTCTAGCCCACTCCTCATCTTCTCCTCCGACGTGACAGTACCAGATGATGGTGTCTTCGGGCTCGACGAGAAGCACGATGCAGCCTGGGATCGTCGGTTTGCCGGAGAGCACGCATGCGCATCTGTTGTGCACGACTTCCGGCAGGTGCGGCAGCTGAATCTTTCCGTCGGAATCCTGTGGGTTCTGCAGAAACGTGGTGGTGTCGTCGCGGATCAGGATCCATCCCCGCGGCGTCGGCCAGGCGTTGCTGTTGGTCACGCCGGCTTGTCTGAGTCGGCGCCATGCTTCAGGGCGATGCAAGGCAGAGGGACACGGCCTCCCATAGTCGGCGTGGTGTTGTCAAACCTCTATTCCTCTCTTCTTCGTGGGCGTGGTGTTGTCAAGCCTCTATTCCTCTCTTCTTCGTGGGATCTGCCACCGTAGTGGCTCCCTTATATAGGCGAGGAGGGGGAAATTGGGAAGGGTTGGGACGAGTCCAAATCAGATGCCAATCGGAGTGCCACAGCGTATTTCGAGTCGGTCATGGCAACGGACAAACCCCTGGATGAAATTCCACGAACTGCGATCGAATCAGATAGAACATCATAGACCGAATCAAGCGGAGAACTGAAACCGAATCAGATAGAACTGCGACGAATCCGCTTACCTTAACTGCGATGAGGGGATCAGTACCTTGTTAGAGGGGGGCTGTGCGTCGCGATCGGCGTAGGGGGCCGCGGACTGGACGGCGGAGATGGCGATCGGCGTACGGGGCGGCGGATCGGCGGGGACGGGAAGGTCCCGCGGGGGGAGAGAGGGAGGAGAAGGCCGCGGCGTCCCCGTAGTCCGCCGCGATCCCCGTCCGCCCGCGCGGCGGTGGCCGCTTGGACGGAGGCAGTGGAGGCGCGGAGGGGCCGTCGACGGCTGTCGTGGGTGACGGGCAAGGCCGGCGGATTGCGGGTGGCGGATCTGATGTTCTGGGCGTTTTTCTTTTTTATTTGAGCAAATTTCGCAAAATAAAAAAAAAGCATGCGTAACATAAAAACCCCACATATTTTACAGCGTGTTTCAAGGAACCTGGGGTTTAGGGCAAAACGTTTAATAAAACCTACATTCATATGCCTAAATTATTCATTGGCTATTATACTTACGCGTAATACATGTATAAGAAATAATATGTTGCATTTTCTGAGTAGATGTAGCCACTTTCTCAAGAGAACACCGGTCATGAATTATGAGTTTTTTTTTTTTTGCTTATATGTAATTTGTACATGAGATGCTATTTGCATCAACAATTTTCCCATTATGAATTGTGAGGTAGGAAGGAAATAGAGCGTATAGTATAGAAACGTTCAGCCCTTAATGCGAGTATATGTGTACTACAACGAAGTATAAGTATTTTGAATGAATATGTGGTTTTGTGAAACATTTTACCTTAAAATATGTGGTTCCTTGAAACAAATGGTAAAAGGTGGGGTTTTGTGTTATTATGTTTTAAAACATGTGACTTATGAAATGTATGCCTTTTAAAGATTTTAAAGGATTGACCATTGGGGAGTATGTACGAATAATTCTAAGAGAGGAGCGTACAGAAGATCTAGCATTTGACTTTGTAGGTTCAATAAAGAGAAAGATGGGGTAATATAGGAAGGTGCGAAAAATTAGTGGACGATTCACCACGACCATTACGTTTTTATAAATAGTAAGTGTAGATAATAGGTTTCATTTAGTTATCTACGTAATATTTAAATAATCAATTATTTGATTATATATATAATCAGATAATATGGAAAAAGTCTAAATCTCCCATAAACTATGGCCATGTTTGTTTCAACTTAAGATTATTATAATCTAGATTATTAAATCAGATTACTCTAAGCTGGATTATAATAAGCTGACATAAAATAAACTGTAATTTATTTGTTTCTCTAGATTATTGGAGGCATCTAAAAATAGTGAGTCTTTAGCCACTCAATAATCTGAAAAAAGCTCAAAAAAAAAGGAGATTATTAGATTATAATAATATGGCTTATAGATTGTAATAATCTATCATAATAATTAACTTGTTTGTTTCAACTTTACTTCTAATAATCCAGGTTATAATAATTCTAAGCTGAATAAAACAGGTTCTATGTTCAAGAGTTCATATAGTCCCCAAACTATAAAATCGGGTATTTAGCCCCTCAAACCTTATAATCCAGTCATTTCAACCCCTAAGCTGTTTCACAAGGCAGTTTTGCATACGTGGCGGGCTGATTGGACCGTATTTACCACTTCGTAACAGGAGGGAAAGGGAGAGTTCCTCTCGCTCTAGGGTTCATATTCCCCATCTCGAGTTCTTCCCGCACGTCAGTAGCAGCGTCAAATTCCGGACCTGGGGCGAGGCGACTCTAGCGCGGGAAATCATAGCAGCGGCGCTGGTGCGCAGCCACGGCGAGCGCGACGACCCCGGCGCCCGCGACAGGTAGGAGCCGTACGTGCAGCATCCTGTATGTGTCATCTTTGCCGGCGCTGGGGCTCATGCGTTCCCGGAGCTTGTAGGCTACAGGATAAGTTCTGTGGCTGTCGGGGCAGGTGCATGGGCTGCACGGCGACGCTCGACGCGCCGGCCGCAAGCACGGCAAGGATGGACAGGGCCAAGTGATATGAACTGTAGAACATGGTGATAGAAAAGAATTTTTTCAGTGTAAATCCATGCATATAGATTAGGGAGGAATGAAATGTGTAAAAGAAGCTCATCTATTATCCCTCTACTGTTGAGTGTAATGTGGAGATTGCCCAAGTGATATTGTATAATCTAGTAAGCATATTATTATGCAATTCAAACGTTGTATCCTTTTGGGATTATCTTATTCGCATTTTTCTCATTTTTTTCATGTGATTGTATTTGGACATTTTTACTTTATAATATGACTGTAATCAGGAGAATTGTGCAGGAACGAAGGCCATGTTCAAGATCAAGCTTACAGGTTCAGAGTACATCCAACAAATTTGATTGTTTTTCAGGTTTAGAGTACTAACACAAGTGGTAGGAAACTAGTAAGGAACATAGATCTTGACAAGAATACAGGTATAAACACAAAAAAGCACTGCTGATCAGATTGCTACTCCAGTTGGCTTGCCCTTCAGTGAAACCTTCTTGGAGCTCCTTACAGGTGTCTTTCCTAGCCTGTGAATTGTTCCTTCCCCTGCTCCTTGCAAGCTATGTGATGCCTGCAATGTACACAAATCATATTAGGATTAAATTTGCAGTTAGTTGAAGGGAGATGTGATTGCCTGTTGTTTTGTATGAACAGTCGATGATGTTGCTCCATCAGGTTGCTTTCTTTTTCTATTAGCTCCTGTGACAAGAGCATTTTTCTTCTTGCCACTCTCTTTATTGAGTGGACAACCCATGCTATTATGCTTAGTTTTATGACAAAGCCCACACCTCATAACTGTGCCAACTCTTGACATTTTAGTTGCTTTAGGTTTCTCACCAGGCTCCCGCTTCCTAGCTTTTCCTTTTGGCCTGCCAGGCATCTTGACATAACCAGGTTGTGAAGGCTTGGGGTGATCTGATGTAGGCCACTTCTCTCCTTCCACAGGCTCCATGCAATGATCATATGTTGTACTCTTCAATTGAATAGCATTGAGCAATAAAACCATCTATGGCTTGTCCTGACTTATAAATAGCACTTAAGGCATGTCATATTTTGCAAGTTTACTGTGTACCTCCTCCTTAGGTGGGCAAGTGTGTTCATCACAGAGAGTACCAACTTGAAACCAATCACATTTGCTTCTCTTTGAACCATAAATCAGCCAAGGACATCTAGGAGCCCTGATCTTGTCCCTCTCATCCTTGATAAACACGATATGTCGTTTGGTCACTATTCCGTACTTAAGTAAAGCTTTCTTCATTTCCTCTTTCCCTCTAAATGTCATGCCAACCGAAAAATGGGGAATAGCAGAATTAGAGTCATACCTTGTCCACCTACTCTTTCTCCTCACTGTATGGTCGTTGTGTTCACCACTATCATCGTCATAAGAATAACCTTCACTAGAATCATATGTAGGTTCATCAATTATCTCATTCAAGCTATCATCTCCATGACCTATTAACTCAATGGGCACACTGTTTGCATCAGGATCTTGTAGAATTAGCCTCATTGCTTTTAACTTTTTGTTATACATCTCAGCAAACTTTCGTAGGTTTACTACCTCCTCATCATCTGGTGAGCTATTTCCACTTTCTGGTTGATAGTCACTATCAATAGTGTCACTATCTTCTCCCACACTTCCTTCTTTGTTTGCATCATATTGTGTCCCTTCCACGTTTTCCATCTCATCAGATTTCACACTGTCAGTTTCCCAATCACTTTCTTTAGAATTATAATCTGACATTGTTTCCTCCACAAAAATTTCAGCCACTCCACCTTCAGCAATGCAACTTGACATATCAAAGCATGCCTTGTCATCTGTCAGTAAACGTAATCATGTGCTTAATTCTTTTCCAGGAAACAACCAGTGAAGCTGCATGGCATCCTTGACCTCGACATGGTCTGCAAGGTGTCCTCTAATTTCAGGCATAGAAATCTTATCATTTTCTATATATAACATCCCTTCATCTCCACCAACGTATTGCACAATCCTTCTAGAATTGGCGAACTCCCCATTATAATGGAATCTGACAGGAAGTATCTCCAAATTATTCATTCTTGCTAGCTTGTGCTGCATGATAAAAGACGAAATTAATTTAATTTATATTAGATTTGACAAGATTAAAAAAGATCATCCTACACACATCGATCTGCACTATGCAACAGAAAACATCAAAGCCCTAAACCTCAATGTCGGAACAAAAAGAAAACAAAACTAAAGAAACCAAAGCTAATTATATCTTGCCTCCATACCTCCCTCGTGGAGGCTGTCAACCACTGTGAGTAAAACAATCACCACAAAACCCTAGATAAAAACGGAGGAAACTTTCTTGCATCAAAGACTGCAATCGAGTCAGGGATCTCACCTACTCCAAGATGTACTCCGCGATCACCTTAATCTTCCCGTCAGTGCGTGATCAGGCAGCCATGGTCGTCATAGACGCAACACTCGAGAGAAGAAACCTAGGAGATGGGATGAGGGAGTACGATGAGGCAAGAATGATATATGGAGCGATGTGCGTTCCCTCCCTCATTTTATTTCGCGATCACTTCACCTTTCCCTCCTGTACTTTGCAATTGCCTGGTCAGCATGACGACGTGGCAAATACGGTCCAGTCAGCCCACCACATGTGCAAAACCGCCTTGTGAAACAGCTTAGGGGGTTAAATGGACTGGATTATAAGGTTTGGGGGCTAAATACCCGGTTTTATAGTTTGGGACGCTAGATGGACTCTTGGGCATAGTCTAGGGGGGATTTGGACTTTTTCCTATATATATTACCATATTGCGTGTGCATTGCAATGGGATTTCAAAAATATCATTAATCTGCATTATCATCATTTCCTATGTATATCATCTTTTAATTATTGTATGTATTTCTATTACTGGCATGTGGACCCTTTAGCCCTATATAATCACTTTAATTAAAAAAAATAGAGAGTTGGTAAAAAAAAAGTGGTTGACATGTGTAGCCTCTAACCCCACCTGTCTTTTTCATTCAAAAGAAATAGAGTGTGCGGATAGTATTAGAAGGGAAAAGCGCGGTGCTACTACCGCACACAGCTGCGCAAGCAAAAGTCTCATGAAATGCCAATTAGTTATTATTGATTGAATGTTTCCCCTTCATTTCAATTAACCTAAAAAAGGTAATCTTAAAACATAGTACATACATAGTCAGAAATTTGTATTCAGTGACGCCAAATGTCAAATGAACAAACTTCATGTAAAAATTTGCTCGTGCAAATACTCCCCGTGCATATTAATTAAAAGTACAACCACACAGGTTAATGTCATGATCATAACAATATAAAAACAATTGGAAGCTTTGTTAACATAGGTGCTCTTTAATTAAATTGACCAAACTTCAAACCATAATATGACCATATTAGTGAATAACCAAAATATCACTCTTGCAACTATGCTTGCAGCTGTTCATTGCATTGTACAAAAATAGGGATGACTTAATTGTGAAAGACAGTGCAGGGATGGGGAAATTGGCATGACAGAATCGAAAGGAACCGTTGTTGACTGCAGCTCAAGGCTACATCATCACAGTTAACAAAAGCTGAAGAATGCATCCCAGAATATGAGCGGTCCCTGTACCCAAATATGACACAGTGTGTATTGTTCTGTATTCTCTAACCTAAATAGTGACAATGTATATAAACATTGTCCATGAAATCCCATCCAAAGCCATCTGATAAATATTAGTTTGAATGTACATATAATTTAACCACACCTCCACTTTGTTGAAGACCCTTTCTGATTGACCAGTCATCCATTGTACTCTCCATCATCTGCCAACAAAGCCAAGCATTATTATGTAAGTTCACGGCCACTTGTTTCCAAAAGTTATTCCTTCAATGGATGATAGTGTACCACTAAGGCATTGTTCAGTTAATCCCTCCTACAAGGGAATCAAGGGGGATTTCGAAGGGGATTAATTCCACATCTATTAAGGTGTGGAATTAATCCCCCTCAATATCCTCCAATCCCTAAATAAAAAGTTTAAATGTGGAATACCATAAAGCATAGTGCTTAAATATGAAATAACATGGTTCTAGGACAAGCATTTAAAATTTTATGTTTCCAGTAGAAGCAGAGCAAATGGGAAAATTCTGATTTCTGTACCCTGCAAGCCTAAATCCTCAGATCAGAATCCTAATTTAAAACTGAATGTGCCCATAGTGGCTAACTTGCTGCTCCATTTTGCAAGTGATGAAATTCGTAAAACCATGAAGAGTTTTTTTCTCCCTAGCAAGAATATAAATTCTTATGCATTATATCTGAAGACTATCAGTTCCGGCAATTAACATATAATCCAAAAATGGACAATGTAAACTTCTATGGTTGTAGGCTTTCCAACATGTCTTTTTTCAGTGCGTGTAAAGAGGAAACGATGCAACTACATACCTTGCGCAGAAACGCATGAGGGGACTTCAATGCAGCAGATAATTTATCAGACTTAACCACTGACTTTATTTCAGTATATCTTGCAAAAGTTCAATTCCTTTTTTTTCACCAACTTGTCCACTGCAGAAAAAGAAGCAGAAGAAATTATTACAAATCACAAAGTAAAATTTAACAGTGTTACGAATGATCAAAATTTCACAGAAACGTGTAATGGATTAACTACTAAACAAATGGTTGTGTTTAAACTAAAACACATTTTTTCTTCAGAAAACTGAACTCACTGAGAGAAGGAAAAAAATAGAGATCGTTCCAATTTCCAAATAAAATATAAGAAGCGTTACTTCATGCAATGTCAGAACACGAATAAAAAGAACATACACTGCATCATGTATCTTCTCTTCCTCCAGGAGAAGGATGGATTCACTGAAAGTGGAGCTGACTCCTGATAAATTTCCATCCTGCAACTCAGCCTATGCCATCTTTACTTGGAAGGCCTATTAAGCAAGAAGCCATTACATGAAACAGGGTTGGGCTAAGTGGTGTGAAAATCTGCATGAAATGACAAGAGACAATGATATAACATTTGATTTACAAGGAAACATAAGAAACATTGGTCATTCAAGCGGATAACGACATTCATTAAGCATAGGCATACACTAATGATGTCTTGGGGTGAACACTAAAAATTTTCGTGAAACATTTCAAGATAACTTAGACACACTAATGTCCCTCAGATTTCTAGGTCTCTGTAGAACCTACCTGAGTAAAACACCTAATAAATGTTAAGATAGCACAGCGTTGTAGTTAAGCTATCAAATTTTCATCCAATGCAGACAGTGTGTACTAAAATATTTTTGGAATGTAAGCAATAAAAGAGCTGTAAAAAAAAGCATCCGCTCCAATTCAAATCATTATATTTCCAACGCCACCAGCATGACGTTTCTAACCTTCTTGTGCCCCCCATGTTCCTTCCTAGTTGGATTGGAGTATATTATTCCTACACTTTTAGAACAATTTCCCCAACTCGCGCACCACAATCCATTTCTCCTGACAAAGAAAAGGGGGAAAGAAATGAATGTAGCATTGACATGCAACCATTAGTGGTGCCACCAAGTGCATGCACATGAAAGCCATGGAGCACTGGCTTGAGTCCAGAGACATTTTCCTTTACAGTGATCAAACCTAAATATGAGAACCGATAAATTATGCCCAAATAAGACAGAAGAATAGAATCCAAAATTCACAGTTTGTTTGTGAATTATCATCCCCCTCTTAGGGAAAAAAAAAGATGGTACCATTGACACACTCACTGCTAGCAAGCACATCAACAGCCTTCAGCATTACTTTTTCTAGAATAGTTCAAAGTATACTTCACCAATCTTTTCTGGAACTATGTTAGAATTAAAGTAGTTCAAGATTTTCATTAGTGACTGCTTCGAACTTTTTTAGAATAGATTCAATTGTGAAGGTTGCCTTTGAACTATACTAAATATGACTACCATAGTTTAGTCTTTGCGAGACAGGAATTATGGGTTTGACTTCCTAGCGAATGGACAGTAATTACTGATTATCATTGTCAACCAAATGTGTCCAATTCAACTTGTGAAGAACAATTTGTTGCCTGGTCAAAGGCCGCCGCACCTCGACAAACTAAATCAGGGGCACGCTTGGATTGCAAGCCGTGCTCGGATTGCAAGACATGGCCAGGAGAATCTTGGCACGTGGAGCGTGCCACCGTCAATACTCATTGTCTACGCGGATACTTGGGGCTGAAGCAAAATTCACCACACACCCAGCCATATAGATGAAAAAGAAGAAGCAGAAAAGGCAGCAGCGATGGAGATGGAGCGGAAACGTTGAGAAACAGGAGCTCACTAACCTGCTCTTTCCTGGTCCTGGAGGTCTTTGTTGCGGAGCTCGGTGGGGATGGGCTTGCCCTCCATGAGCACCTCACGGCTGACGGAGGCGGCACTTGGTTCTCTCGTATAGGTACGCCGTACGCCAGAGCAGAGCAGAGCAGCGTGTCCCACCACAGCATCTTGCCTCGCTCGCCAACCCAGGCAAAAAACCCCACCCTAATACAGGGGGAGCTTGATCCGGAGGGCATGGAGGCGCGCGGCGGCAGAACGTCGGGTCGGAAGAATGGTGCACGCAGTCCTGCAGCCACGGGCCGGCCTCAGATCCAGAAATATCCAGGCACCGGCTCGTGGAGGAGGAGGAGCGGCGTTGGCGCTGGTGGCGGCCGGGATGAGGTCTCGACGTCAGTTCATAGGGGGAACCGGGAGGCGTTGCCGTCGGCTAGCTTGCTAGGAGGAGGGGGATGCGGGTGGAAGAAATTCGTCGTCGCCGGCGGCGGCGGCGGCGAGAGGCGCGGGGCGCAGGTGGGGGGTGAGAGGATTTGGTGTGGGAGAGCCGGAGAGAAGGATATTTTGCACACAAGTCCTTGTATTTTGTACGATTACTGCGCTACCCTTAATAAAACCAAAATTTTGTTTTCTTTGTATTCTATTTTGTTAAATAACAATGAGGGTCTTTTAATATTACAACTTCCACAGTACATTTAATTTAAACAAGAGTATATCTCTATGTATAGCCAAAAGTTGCTATATTTTAGAACAGATGTATTGTACGAAATGGTATAAATAGTGTATTAAATATTTTATTGAATGGTATATAAATATATCCTCGCTCATAATGTGACATTCTCTCCAAAACGCCGATATCATACACTATATTGTTCTTGCTCTTGGTTAGTACTTCCTCCGTTTTACAATGTAAGACTTTCTAGCATTGTCCATATTAATATAGATGCTAATTAGATTCATTAGCATATATATGAATATGGGCAATACTATAAAGTCTTACATTGTGAAACGGAGGAAGTACATTGCTATAGGGAACCAACAAGTAAGAAAAGCATAATCCTTCTTCCGATCCTCTAGTGACAAACTGATACCGCCACCGTATTCTCAATCCACCTCCTCCCTCTAACGCCATCTCCATACCGCCACTGCATTCTCAACCCACCACCTCCAACACAGGAACACACAGGAACACAATCTCCCAATCTATGGCCATGTTTGAGAGAGCTTCTGCTAGAATCTCTAGGTTCACCAACGGTCCAAGTTTCTTGCCCATATTCTGAAAATATGTAACCATAAAATCAAAAGATAGACTAGAAATAAAAAAAAATCTAGATTGGGAGAATCTCAACCTCCCCAAACAATCCACATTGTTCATCCATATATTATGATAATATGTAATTATACAACTAAAAAGTAAAGTAGAAGTCAAAAAAAAAACCAAATTCTCACATGCCACCCCGTTATTTCACAAATGTTCATAAACTTAGGGCCTATTTGGGGGAGCTTTAGATTCTGAAAAACAGCTGTTTGGTAGTCAGCTTCTGAGAATCTGGAAAAACTCTGAAACTCAGCTTCTCCAACTTCTGGCTTCTTAGTTCATTTTTCATAATATGTAACTACAGATTCTCAGAAGTTGTGGACTGTTTGGGGCAGCTTCTAGCAAAAAGCTGCAGCTGTGACAAGCTCTCTCAAATAGGGCCTTAACCTCCGCCTAAGCCTCTCTCCAATGTCAAACCTCACGCACCCTAGATATTTAACTTAACTATTTATCATGATGTTTAACTTTTGCCATGTCATATACACATAGGGACCTATATCTTATCTAAAGATATGGATGGTAAATAGTGTAATGTAAAATACGATCGACTTTTTTTTTATTATTTTTTTCATTGCCACCGATCAGAGGCATTTAACCTGGCAAACCCCACCCCTCTTGTCTTCTTCCCCGCACAAGGCGAGTCGACGCCGCGCTCCCCTCCTTCCCCGGCGAGAAAAAAAGGTGAGATCGCGTCCATCTCGTCCCCCCCACGCCGACGCGACGCACGAGTTGATCGTATTCCCCACATCCCATTCCTTGCAGGCGGCGGCATTCTCCTCCACCCCCACGCCGCGAACCGGAGCGGTGACATAGAGGGGGCAACGGCTAGCGGTGGCGGCCATGGAGGCGATCGCCCGTGAGCACGAGCGCAGCGGAGAAGGATTGAGCTTAGCTGCGGAGAAAGGAGGAGGCGGCCATGGAACGCGCCGAGACGAGGACTTCAGTAAAAGCAGGCATACCAGCTTTGTTCATCAGGTAGGAACAATGCTCTAATCTTTCGGTTTCAGGTTGGAAACAGGAAATAAAAAAACACATGACTGTTTACCTGGAATTTTACGGCCTATCCTCTGCTTTTACAAGTTCAAATAGATTTACCAAGTGTGTCACTTTCATTTGGAACTAGTGAAAGAATTTCATCCTCAGAGGCAACTGGGCAAATGCAGTGCGACATTATTCGGCTAGGTACAGTATTTTGTTTTCAATAAATCGAGATGGATTTTTTTATCACTCGAGGGGACATCCCCTCATTTTGTGCATGATATTTGAAAGTCATCAAAAAAATTATAAAAAACTGTTAAGATAGATCAATATATGATATATCTTTTCACAATTAAAATTCGACTTATACAATTCGAAACAAAAATAACAAATTTAATAGTGAATTGCGCATTCTATTCATTGTCAAATTTGTTGTTTTTATTTTAATTATATAAGTTTAATTTGAACATGCATGCTTGTGAAGTGATATATCACATGTTGCTCTAACTTTTTTTTAATTTTTTTCATGATTTTTAAGCGACGCGAAAAATAAGGGGATATCGCGTTAAGGGATTATTAGAGTTTCCCCAATAAATCCACTACTTGGTTCTGGTCGACAGACAACTTGTGAAAATGAACTGACTAATGCTAAACCAATAAAACTGAGATGAGTGATGGCAAGGTTCACTACTCAATTTTTTTAATACACCAGAATCATTAATTTCGTGTGTGCATAACCTTTTCTTTACAACGAAATATCTTGTTATGCTTGCAGTAGACAGTACGCAAAAAAAAAACGAAATGTAAATTTCATAGATAGTGCTCTCATCAAGCGTTGCAAAAACATGTACTCCCTCCATTCCAAAATATAAGTCACAACGACTTTTTAAAGGTGTTTCATAATATAAGGCGTGCATGCATGCATGACAATTAATTAGCATATCTTCTCTCCTAAATTATTATTTTTTAAATCATACACTCACAAGATGTTTAATTCTATTGGGTGCATGTATGGATCGATTCAAATAAAGAGGTGGTAATAATTGTTTCTTGGTCTTTGAATTAAGGGTGATTGTACCTTATATTTTAGAATAGAGGGAGTAATAAACAATAGCTATACTGAAAAGAAAAACATTTACAATCTTTCAACGGGGTTGAAAGTTGAAACGGTGGCACAAATTCCCAACTTACCAAGTTTTTTATTCTAGCCGTATATAAATTTTGACTTACATTCTAATATCTATCAGCTCTGTTTCCATAGAGACGACGTCATTTCTTACTGATTTGGACAATTTTCATCTCTACTTTATTCAACGGGCAAAATCCACGTCCCTCCTTTCGAATCTGGAGCTTCGATGAGCTCGTGCTCCTCGGTTTCTCCATCTTCCACCTTGGATACCTCGTAATACTTATCACGCGCAAAAATAGCGTAGACACAATCCTTCTCCAACCCATACTCATCAGCCGACCGTGAAGCACCAAAATAGCATGAAGCTGTCAAGAACGCACGGCCACCAATGTCCTCGGCTACGCACCATTGCTGCTTCGAGAAATCCATCCTATAAACAGTGACATCGTAGATGGTCTCCATTTCAGAGTCATACATTTGGCAGACCATGTAAAGTTCATCCAAGGACTCCACCAGGTACACGTTTGCCATGCCCACCACCCCTAATCCTCCGATGATGGGGTCGGTGATTGTGATGGAGCTGAATGTTGGCTCGGGGGAGAACTCCAGCACGCCGATGCTTTCGAAGTCACCATTGAAGTAGAACTTGCCCTGGAAAGCGGCGATCGAGCATATCGGCACCTTCTCGTGGTCCTTGCCGTCCAAGGGGGGGGGGGGGGGTCCAATGGCTGCGTTCCGATGTCGTACTCATGTTTCACCCACTTGTCATCGTCTCCAATGTGACAGTACCAGATGATAGTGCCGACTGGCTCAACAAGGAGAACGACACAGCCAGGCATCGTGGGCTTGCAGGAGAGCAGACATGTGGAACTGCTGTGCACATTCTGGGATAGGTGCGGTAGCTGAATCTTATCGGTCGAATCATGAGGATTCTGCAGAAACGTGGCGGTGGAGACGGTGTCGCGGACTAGGATCCAGCCCTGCGGCGTCACCCAGGAGTTTGTGTTGGTCAGCCCGGGGATGTTGTTGTTGATGGCCTTCTTCTCCGAGATGCTGAATAGCGCCGGCTTGTCTGAGTCGGCGCCGTGCTTCACGTACAGGGCAAGGCACGGCACACTGTTCGTCTTGTCCATGGTGAACTGTGGTGATGCGACGTCGGCTTGGTGTGATAAAAAAAAGCCTAGCTCCTCTCCTCGCGTTGGATCAACTGCAACTGTGCTTAACCATCTCTTATATAGGCCGGGCATGCAGATGTGTCAATCGGAGTACGTACAGACAGATTCCGAGTCGATCACAGCAATCACTGGCCGAAGCTCACGCGAAACTAGCTAATCAGAGATCAGAATTACTAATCGGAATCCGCTAAACTTACCGCTGGCACCGGCCAGGGAAAGTAACACCGACCTCGCGCGCTGATCTGCACGGCGGCGAATCGGGAATTCCTCCGGACTCTTGCCCTCCGCCGCCGACGGAACCAAGGTGTCAGACGCTTGCCGCCGCCGGATCGACTCGGAATGCATGTTCGTGGAGGATCTATTTTATATTTTTTGATATATTTTATATTAATCAAAGATCGATGAGAAACTTACATATTTGTGGAGTGATATATTTTATATTAATCTATGTTGTTAATTTTTTTCATATATTTTTTGATGACACGAGGGGATATCTCCTCGAGGGATGATTTCAATTTCCCGCCGCCTTGTCCTAACTTAGCTTTGGCAGAATGCTAATGACGTTTTCAAGGCTTTGGGCTTGCGTTTATCAATAACTAGGTGAAACCCCGCGCATTGCTGTATGATAACAATAAAAAAAATAACGTGTAAGATAGCTAGATAACATCAGATTAAGTAAATTAATGTGGTTTATGATAATTTAAATTTAAATAGTATGTAGAATGGTGATTTAAACGTAAAAAGTAAGCTGGTATGACTTTATGGAAAAAGAAAAGTAGGGAAATAGTTTGGACCGTAGATTAATTATCTAAAGGCTGTGATATGACTTAATTTGAGGAAAAAAATGGAGAAAGATAACTTGAACCATATATTAATCATTTAAGCACTAACTAAGTGAGGATAAACTATATAAGTATATAGAATGTCATAAAACATAATACAGATATACATTGAAATATTATGTGAATTATGTTGGATGATAATTTAACATGTTTGTATTTGAAAAACTCTTAAATTATAAAAACTATAAATATATAGTATGTTTGAATGATGTTTAAATGTGATGATTGTTAATGGATGATAATGTGGCATCTTGTTAATTAGTGAATGATGATGTGGCATCTTTGCATGTCAAGCTTAAGGAGTACTTAGTGGGGGATAACTTTATAGTAAGATAGGATTACAGAGTGTGATGGAAGAAAGGAATGTTGATTTCATCGACGTAAAACCTCAATTCATCCTTTAAGGAGATATCCCTATTTTTACATGTCACCTAAAAAGTCATAAAAAAATTTAAAAAGTTTAGTAGGATAGATCAATATGTGATATGTTACTTTATAAACATACAAATTCAAATTTAACTTATACAAGTAGAAACAAAAATAACAAATTTGACTATGAATAGAACACGTAATTCACGGTCAAATTTGTTAATTGTGTTTTGAATTATATAAGTCGATATTTAACTCGCATGTTTGCAAAAAGATATATCATATATTGATCAATCTGATATTTTTTTAAAAAAAATTGATAACTTTTTAAATGATATGTATAAAACGAAGAGACGTTCCCTCGAGGGAAAAAATCCATTTCCTTTTATTGACACCCATCCATCGTAAAACGTGTGTCGCCCGGGCATAAGGGAAATGATGACTTAACTAATTAACTCTCATCAAGCACTCGAAATACGAACAATTAACTAGAAAACAAGATACGTACTGATTAAGAATAGTACTCACTTTACAGATAGTGCACTCACCAAACGCTGCAAAAACAAATAAAAACGACGGCGGAAATTCCCGGCCGACCGACCAAGTATCATTTTTTAGTGATGCTGTTTCCCACCATTTCGATCAGCTATATACAAATTTTGATTTTTATAATTTCTGTGAGCATCATTTCCATCTAGAGTGTATAGCTTCTGACTTTTTTCCAATCATTAGTGCAAGTGCTATAATGTTTTATGTGCTGCCCCTATTGGGTGATGAGGTGGAGGAGAGAAGTGAGGACAGAGATGATGAACCACCCCCCACACAAACTTCAAGAAGGATGTGAGAGTACTAAAGTCATTGATATTTGTGTATTAGAGGTGACCTATTGTATACTCTCTCCATTCCAAATTGATCTACATATTTCATAGGTACACCAAGACCAAAAAAAGCTAATAACTCTCTCATATTTTATTTACTCTAGCAACAAACCCAATGCATGCACCATCCCCACTATTTCCTAGCCAATAGCAAATTAAGATATTGCATGTGGGTTATAAATACTTGTGTGCATGGATGCATGCATCAATGTCCATTTACTCCAATGGACAAATAACGAATAGACTTAATAAATAAACACAAATATGTAGATCATTTAGGAATAACCTCAAAAAAAACTATATGCAGATCAATTTGGAATGGAGGGAGTATCTTGCATCTTAATTTATTGGTGAATGCCATAAATAAATTTGGAGGTAGCAATCACATCTATTACTCCCTCTTATCATCTCTACTTTTTTTTCAACCGGCAAAATCCACATCCCTCTTTTCGAGTCTGGAGCATCAATGAGATCATGCACCTCGGTTTCATCATCTTCCACCTTGGATACCTCAAAACATTTATCCACTGCATACGAGGCATACACAGAATCCTTCTCAAGCCCGTACTCATCAGCCGAACATGAAGCGCCGAAGTACAACGGAGCTAGAAAGAATGCGCGGCCGCCAATCTCGTCGGCTCTGCGCCATTGACGGCTCAAGAAATCCATCTTGTGGACTGTCATATCGTAGATGGTAAACTCATAGTCAATCCGCAAGCACACCATGTATAGTTCGTCCTCGGACTCTACAAGATAGACGTGCGCCGCGCCCGTCACCCCTAATCCTCCCGGGGTCGGGTCGACGATCTCAATCGAGCTGAACACCGGTGTTGGGGTGAACTCCAGCACTCCGATGGTGTCGAAGAAACCGTTGAAGTAGAACTTGCCATGGCAAGCGGCAATCTGGCATATCGCCACATCATCGTGGTCCTTTCCATCGATGGGTGGATCGAAGGGCAACGTTCCAATGTCGTACTCGTGTCTCGTCCACTCGTCATCGCCGATGCGACAGTACCATATGACGGTGGCGATGGGCTCGACGACGAGGACGATGCAGCCGGGGAGAGAAGGCTTGCCGGAAAGCTGGCACGAGCATCTGGTAGACAAGCCTTCTGGTAGATGAGGGAGATGGATCTTGTCTTGGGAATCCTGAGGGTTCTGCAGGAACGTGGCGGTGCTCAGGCGGAGTAGGATCCATCCCTGCGGCGTGAACCAGGCGTTGGCGTTGGTCAGCCCCGGGATGTCGCCGTCGATGATGGCCTTCTTGTCGGAGATGCTGAACAGCACGGGCTTATCTGCAGACTCGTCGCGTTGCTCCATGGAGAGGCAAGGCACAGGGACACTGACGACTGGGCTTGCGTTCTCCATAGTCAGCGTGGTGTTGTCAACCTCTATTCCTCTCTTCTTTTAATGTTTTATCTGCAAAACCGGTGCTTATATAGGCGAAAACTGCTGCCAGAGGAATGTTGATTCCGACACGAACATTATCAGACATCAGAAGTAATCGGAATCGGAGGCAAAAGATCAATTCTTCTTCGTTCGAAAAAAAAAAGATCATACAACGCGTTGCGGCCCACTTGACCCAGTTAGCCCACGTGCACGCATATTGGAGCCTGTATGCACATGTGTAGCCTATTTAGGAAAAAGTCCAATCAACTCCCTTAATATACACGTTTAACTTCATCGGTTATGCTTCATCCAAAGAGCTAAGATAAAATTAGGTTACAGGACCTCCGGCATTGCACATGCTTGTGTAAGTGCTATTGAACGATAACAAATCATCTGCATGAATAATGCTCAGATCATGAATATAGAAAATCCTAATTACCCAAATTTTAATGTAATTTTAATTTTTCCCGTTGCAACACACGGGTATTTTTTTCTAGTGAATGAAAAAGTTGGTAGCAGAAATTCAATTTTTAGATGGGTAATAGAAACTTTTGTATTTCTTAGCATGTACTCAAACAGTCCTATCACCACCAACGGGTGGCTTTGTTCTGTTCATGTCAAACTGTTGTTCACAAAAGCATCATTAGAGCTCTTCGGCTTCAATTGAGCAGTTGCCCAAAGTTTAATATGGTGTACTTGTCCATGTTATGAAATTGACGATGGATTTAGCCATCGTATCACTAAAGATTGGACCCGGAAGAGTGGAATACAATTCCTCAAAATTTTGCTGGTGAATGGCAATATGAAATTGGTCAGCTGAGTGCAGTATTTTTTTTTAAAAAAAATATATCATTATGTTCAGAAACAATATCTAATCTAAAGTTGCAAACTTGCTGTACTAATCAAATTGTGACAAGTGATGCCATGGTTCAGTCCAATTCATGAAGTTCCTGGTTCAGAACAATCTCTGAACTAAAATTATCAGTGTGAAAATCTGTCTCAGGGATTCCTGAAACACTGAACATT